AGGTTCAAAAATTTAGTTAGTTGTTTTTTAAGTCTATATAAAATTTAAAATTACAGATTATATTTTTGAGTCCCTCGACCCTCATAAGTAAGTCATTGTTTTTTCACAATAGTGGCAAATTTTAAATAGTTAAATTATTGGTATAAACAACATTATTGGTATAGATWAGAAAAACAAWCTAAAAATAGCTTGAAGCCTAAATATTCTAATATCCATAATTAATAATCATATTCATCAATGACGATATTTCATAATAATTATTAATACATATATCAATATATCATAATACTTGGCTTTGAAAAATAGTTAGCTTAGTCCCAAGGGGGGGCTATTGCCCCCTTAGCTACCCCCCTTAAACCCGCCCCTGAGTCAAAGTCTGTAGAAATGGGAGAGGTAATGAGAGTAATTATTGACCATTTACTTACCAAAATCTGGAACCAATTCTACTATAGAATTAGGATACATCATTAATTTAACCAATTCAGAATTCTACGTCAAAAACAAAAACCTATCATAAAAGCACCAATTATATCACAACGAATCTCGCGATTTCTGTTATTATACAAATCCTGATTTTTAATATTTAGATATATTTGACATTTTAACTATATATATATTATATAACAGTCCATCCCATTTATCCGGCTAATTCAAAGAAAACACCAAATATTAGATATCAAACTAATAAGTATTTATTCGTGAATACTTATAAGTTATAACTATTATACCTGTAGGCTATAAGGCACCTGGCACGCTATTATATTTTATAGACAATACAATTAAAGGATAAATTAATGAACTAACAAGCTCTGCGCAATAATTTCAATAGCAGAATAATTTATGGATTTACGACATATCTATCTATAATATTATAACTATAAGTTTATATGCTACAAAATGTAGTAAATACTATTTTTATTTCATAATTTTGTTATGGATTTTAATTGTCTATCGAATACATACATAGTATTATAGTATGTACCATTTAATATAGGTATCTTCTAGTTACTATCACGATGAAGGGACAGTATACCATTATTTAGAGGTACGATGAGGATATTATAATTTATAAATATATGTATAATATTTGTGTGTATTTGTCTATATAAACCTGTAACAACTCACTTTTGTTCTCGTTGTTGCTGGGACTCATCTCAATTGTATCATCCACTGAAACATAAAAGCAAGCACAATTTATAAATATAAATCATAACAATATTCGGACTGAGCAGAAATAATATGCAGCGTGTACGGCGAGCTTGGCGAGGTCAATGGAATTGTACGCGCGTTTATTATAATATAATGTACATAATATATAATATGTATATATATTAATAATATTTAATAATCAACGTTGTATGATGTGCTAGTATATACACATTCGAGTACGTGGGCAGAGCACACGCATAACTAAAACGAGCCAAAAGCTAATATTAGCGTCGTCGCAGAGTGAAAAGAATGAATAATACTATTCAAATACCCCACGGGCCCACATCCGTTGCGGACAATCTACATACACTGTCAACCGCCGCTGCACCACCTACGTAGCTACGTGCAAGTGTACTGCATCACCACCACCGACCAAATTCGATTTTCGAGCGGCCKGCCCAATCTCGGCCGAAAACAACAAGATAAACACTCGAGAAAATTAAAACTTATATGGCGTACGGCGGACGAGTGTAACCGAAAACACTCCTTGGATCGACACGATACATTGTTATACAACAAATCGCGATAGTATCAAATACAGTCTCGAGAATTTGTTTCTAAAAATGTGTGACGACCGACGGGGTTAAGAGGTTAAGACACAAAACAGGATATATATTGTGGCTGGCGCAATACAAGATCAACTAATAATAAGGTGCAAACGAATGGGACGTATAATGATTATTGAAGACGCATTTTAATGTATCGTAATACATTCTGTGACAATTGTGACTCTAATATTTTTTATAATTCGTTCGCAGTTCAYGGAGAAAAAATACCTAACCGATCATTACAGGTTTAAATTTTTATTTTATTTTTTGTTTTTAATTTCGTTCGGTTCTGTTTTCCCGGATCAGCACGTATAGCAGCAAGACTGCATCAACGATAACCGGTTCGCCATCTGTCCTCAACCGCCTATACGCACACGCACACGCRCCCGCAATTCAATAAAATATTAATATTATAATAACAACGACGATGATTATAATAATAATAGATACGCGATGTAATCACGATGAGAACCACGAGTTGTCACAAATTTCGAGGGGTCGAGAGATGCAGACCGGAGACATTTCTGGTCAAGCTTTAGATGCCATTTATATATGAGGGAGACTGATCCATTAAAGGCTATATAGAATTTCAACTTTATAATATTATGTACAACTATTTTCGCGACACCTATAACATATTAAACTAATATCAGTAATATATTAGATATTATTATTCTGATGATAATTCTAATTAATTTTCGATTACTATAATTTGTTATAAGTTCGCATTCCAATCCCATTCATAAACAATAATTACATATAATAAGACATATATGTATAATTTACATTGTATATTATACAGTGCAATTTTATTTGTGTACGCTTTTACATACTCCACTATCTTCTATCGTCTATCGTCAATCTTTGCAGTGCAACACGACTCCGGYAAAAAATACTCCAAGTCTTCCGCAACGTAAAATCAAATTAAAAACGAAGACCTAATTTGAAAACTTGAAGCGAATTTTTTTTACCTAGATTTACATGACACAAACATATATGATCGAATCGAATATTGAATAGATAACAGTAGATGTACGTTATTTATATACTTTTGTTTTAAATTACGTATTACGTACTTTACGTGATACGTATAATAAATATACCTATATGTAATCCAGACAGTTTTTGAACAACTTTTGAGGGCCCTAAAAATACCTTTATCTTTGTAGTTTAATTAGAGGTTTCATTGTACAATTAATTAATATTCAAAAATTTTCAAAAAACTAACCATTCATAAGGTTATTATTTTATTAAACTTTATCTTTTAAATTAAAATTTGGACATTTTTCATATTAAAGTAATAAATGTTTTTAAGCATATTGCTTAAATGTGTTTATTTGTCAAATATATAATCTTGAAGATTTGTTCATATAGATTACTTTATGACTGTGTTGTAAATATTCTTATAAAATGTTTAACTTGTGCACATACGCAGCGTAGGTTCGTTGTACGAATAATATGTTATAGTATAATATATATTATTTAAACGACTATAATAATTATTATAGTACCTATTACTCAATATGAGATAAATTCCATAGAGTATAATACATTTTTACATAATAGATATTGCAAATAATAAGTAATAATAAATAACAAAATGGGGGTACCAACGACCATGACAAACTTCGAAAAATAAACATTATTTTTGTTCACGAAAATTATTTTGGTACTTWACGTATACAGATTTAAAACATACTAAAAATAAAAAAAGCAAAACATCTAGTGTATCGTTATGTTCAAACTGTTCATATTAAAGTGTGGTAAATAGAAACCTATATACTTATATTATTATACATATTATATAGATACCAKATTCAACTTTCAAATAACATATGTTATTAGTTTTTACTTTTTAGTTACTATCTAGTGTTTTTACCTACATCACTGATCACTATTAATATGATTAACACGTGTTAGGTCATCATAATTTATAAATAAAACTTACATTTTACTTATTTAGTTAGTCAACAGATAACTATAAAAATTTGAAATAAATTGTTGAATAACTTTTTTTAATTAGCTGATTACTTGAATTTCCTTTCAGTTAATTTATTATGATTAATTTTTCTAGTAAATATAAAATTATAAATGTATAATAAAATTTACTGTAAGAATCATAACGTAATTTGGGTGATATGGGGAGGAGAGGTGTTACTGCCAAGGATATTTATAAGTTATAAGAAATAAAATATTTTATTGTCACATAATAATAATTTAAATTAATATAATTTCCAACATATGCAATTATTAAAATTGATAAGATTTGTTGTGCTGTCAACTTCTTGATAAAATCGAATATAAATATATAAACTGCAGCTATTCTAAACTAAACGGTATTTTAAAAAAAGCACCGAATGAAATCACCAAAAAAATTATCTTTAATTTGAATCTTTATCTACAAAATATATAATACTATATCAGATACCTATTACCTATATACTATATAGTATGTACCATAACTATCCACCTTATTATATTGATAGAAAATCATACAGCTTTTTTCAATATTAATTTGTGAAGTCAATAATAATTGAATAYCACACACACACTTATATATGTATATGCAATAGCAACATGCATAGTTTGAAATGTRTACACAATGTAGCGTGCAGGATTATTCCCAACACAACTTAAGTAATTAACATTTAATTTWATTTTTATTTTATTTTCAAGAAGATAATAGGCCTCACTCATTTCATCTTTAAAATGATGATGGYATTATAGAAAATACAATTACATAAATATGTTAATTGATAACCTAATTAAAAACAATAGTGTTAAATGTTGTTTAATGTTATTAAATAAAAATTATTATACAACATAAATATATTTAAATATGAAATTTAAAAAAATATATATAAGCAATATTTAATTAACGATCTACTACCAACTATATTAAAATTATTAATTATTTGTCAGTCCTTTATGTTATTCATCTTCGTCCCCGTCTTCGACATTAAAATTAATATTGTAAGCTAATTTTGAAATCCCTTATCTCATCACAAATTTTTACTTAAAGTAATTAGATAAGTATCGAGCAATAATATAGAAATGTAATTAAACATTAAGAACTAATTTTMAATTAAGATGTTATTATGTTATTCAATATGTAATGAAAATACCTATGTATGTGATATAATTTTGATTCAAATAAATAATAAATAATATCAATAATTAGGACATAATCATTGTATATTATGTTTAGTGATTTTCGATAAAGAGCTTTTTTCAGATTCTAACAGATTCTAACAAAACACTGTTATCTATCAACAATTTATAATTGTAATTTAAAGTGTAAATCAGATCGATGCTATACCTTAATTTAGAACATCATCCATATGCAGCTATATTATTTATGATTTTCACTGGCACTATTCCCTTATATTTTTTAAGTAATATTACATTTTATTTTACTATGGATGGTTCCTCTATACACTCCCTCGGGAAAATTCTGACTAATGAATTATAATGACGATGTATCATCAAAATGCGATATGAAAATTTTATAAAATTTAAAAAAAGTTATTGAAGGCAAACTTTAGAATGGTGTGTGGATCAGAAGCCCCTCTGGGTCTGTTAGATAATAATATGTTTAACCCTTTCCGTGTATAAAATATTTAAAATATTTTTAGTTATGTAATAAGATTTATGTCCCTATTTATAAGTAAGACACAAAGAAAACTTCAAGTAAAGTCGAATATTCTTTAAATAGCAATTAAAAATATATATATACTGTGGTCGAGCATAAGATACCGTTTTCTTGGTCATAATTATGTATATAGACGTTAATCATATCACAGCGATTCCATATTTTCATTCCGTAACACAGGCTTATCAAGGGTTATTTGGTATTTAGACATTTTCCCTCTCCACACATATATTTTTCACAGTACTGGACAAGGCAACCATCTGCCAATAGATATCGACCACTCGTGAAGTTACTATACTATCAGAGATTCAAAAAATTTTATRCTACCCATTAAATAAGTAGTTAGGTTGTGTATATGGTTATATATTCGTATACTATATGCATATCTGTTATAATTTAGAAGAATATCCAAAATTCATTGGAGCTAGATGTCCTAGATTCATATTAATTATCTCTGAGTAACTCATCAGTCATTACACTCAAATCGTACGTATTTAATTAATGTGCCATTGATAAATAAATCACTTTCTCCTCATGTATGCCTATGTAATGTAAAAATATTAATATAATATTCATACAGATATACTCTGCAGGTAAGCATTTTTATTAAGACTTTTAAGCACCTGATTTACGAACGAAGCGATTAGCGAAGTCTTATTGCCTGTTAGAAGTTAACGTGAAAATTAAAAACATGTATAATATACTACTTATATCATATCATAATATATTAAAGCAAAACATCAATCCAGACCTTCTCTCTC